GGGTGGGAATCAAGGTTGCTTGTTTTAACGCACTTGTTTCACAGAACTTATCCAAGGTCAGCCTCTAGATTTCCCATCTCTGGAACTAGCCTTAGGAAGCTCATGCTATGGTAGTTCACAACCACAGTCATAGGTAACTTTTATAATGCAATGCATCGGTACCATGTTTAACATGCTACAATTCCTATTTCAGGTGAAGTATCACATTCTAAGCCATTCCTTGACAACAGTCAATAAGCTTGTTTTCCTCTCATCTGAATTACTGTTTTATTTACATATGCTATTTCTCAGCACCACAAAAAGTAGGTGGTTTTTTTTTTTAAAAAAAAAGTGCCTGAGGCACAAACTACATCTGAGCCAAAAACCAAATCAGTTCTCCCGAGCTATTTCCCAAGTTAAAGAAACAGAACCAACTTATGCTCTTGCTTACTTAACTCTTCTTTTCAAAGTAAGGAGAAATTAACTGAAATTCCAACAGCTCGGTAAGAAGAGTTTCCACTGAAAAACCACTTAGCTCCTTGTGTGAAGATCATCACGAGTTAATGTTATTCTTTAAAGATGCTGTGAAATATGCCAATGCCACCAATCAGAAGTCATCTACCAGGCAACATTATGGTATTGGTCTACATTTTGCTTTAGAATAGAAAGGACTACTTAAACTCCACCAATTTTTTTATTAGTGTTAGGAAAAAAGTATCAAGATTTTAAGAGTCTGGGCAAACAGTCCTTATCCAGAATATTTGTGCAATAGCAGGAAGAGTTCTGCTCACAGTAAACTTGAAAAAGCAACTGCTACAGCACTGGTCACTCCAGTCGCTACATGTTTGAACCCTAGAACTGGAATGCTCGACTGGTTTCATAGAAGTTATTTGAATGGGATCTAACATATATGCCTAGTACAGAGGCAAGTGCTCAAAACAGTTGTAGGTTTTAAAGTGTTTGGGGGTGGTGGGGAGGGGGCACGTGATAAAGTTGCATTAGTGCTAAGAACAAGCTTGAGTTACTGGGATTTCCCCCCTCCCCTTACAGCAGCCATTGCAGGAAGCTGCAAGAAGTTGACCCATTTTGCAGCAAGTCCTGGACCTAGAAGACCTTTGCATTGGCTTGGACAAGGAGCATCCAAAGGAGCCAGGTTTTTCCATGGAGGAGTCCTGTATTACCCAGTCCATCAATGCCTGGTTGCATCGTGTAACACAAACAAGAACTACTTCTGTTCAAGATATGGTTCTGACATTGCTTCTTGTTGATAAAGGCTGCTTCAGATCAGCAGTACTGTCAAAATGTATGGCTGTTTCCCCCATGCCCCAGAGGCAAGGGAGCCAATTTCTGTTTTCCCGAGAACAGCGTTTTCCTGAGAAGGCAAGCAATGCTTCAGTTACTAGCAGGCTTATTCTGAGCAGCAAGAAGTATAAGCTAAAATTCTCAACCTGCCATATAATTTTAAGCAACCTAGCCCCTAGGTAAGCACATAACAGCTAAAACTGATTACTTAAGATTAGACATGCACCTGTCTCTAACCAAGTTATTCTTGAAAAAGACAAGACAAGTTCTGGTAATTATCAAAAGAACATAAGGAAGTTTAAAAGTTATTTCATGAGTGAAATGGCTGTCTCTGTATTTGACTATCTTTTCTGAAGGAAAAAAAAAAAGACAGAGTCATAAATCCAAACCTATGCCACTAGAAGATCCAGATAAGCAAGCTTTTATCTACATGCTATCTTTCCGCATATTCTAGCCAAACTTGACCCAAATAGCAGTATTTGCTTTTTTTTAAAGACCATGCAGCCAAAGTTGTTCAAACGTCTATCACCAACTGGAAGAGCAATCTGCAAACAGACAGCACCAGATGTGCCTGCAGTTACAGATGTGATTAAGGGTACACCCGAGCTTTGCAAAATATAGCTGTAATGCCTTATTGTTAGCATTATTGCAACGTGGTGAAATTCCTAGCGATATAGCGCACAATTCAGTATAGTGTAATTCTTGGCAATATAGTCTCACACTGGTTGGACTTATTAAGAATTAAGATTCATGAATCTTATCTTCCTTCCTACAGGCAAAGGATTCAAATGAATTTTGAGCAGAGATTCTCACTGGTACCTCTAAAAAATAATAAAAATTTCCCCCTCAAAAAAGGTTGGTAGCTTTGAAAACGTTGGGGATTCTTACAGGGAAATGGGATTGTAATATGCATATGTTGAAGACTGTACTCCACATGTTTTAATTGTGACATCTATTTTAGAAGTAATCCAATACTTCTGGTAGCTCTCTGAACTGACATTCAACTCAGCGTACAATCTTTATGTTCACTCTGTGATGGTTAAAAGGTGTCACTGGGTGCTGACCTGCCAAATCAAAGCTTTCCAAAGATGGGAAGCAACATGGAACAACAATACACAGGATATTTTTCCTCCCATAAGAAGTTCTGAAGATTCATCATGTGAACATTTAGAAACCCTACTCCAATCACTGGCTTCGTTGGACTTTGTTAGAGGCCGAGGCAGTCAAATGTCTGCAGATATATCTCATTGCCAGAGTTAAGCAGAACCGTATTTAAAATTCAGAATTAAAATCATTAATGAACAGGTAGCTCTGCTATTCAAAACAGTAGAGAAGCAGAATTGCCTTCTGCTGAGCTTCTTTGGAAAACACTGCTGACTCCCCTAGTCCTTTTAAATTGCATTCTTTAATCAGAAAAGTTGTTAAGCACATTGTCTGAAAGCAGTGTTTGACATTTTTCTGCTGTGGAAGCAACAATCACAGCTTAGTAAAATCTATGAGAATGGAAAGTACATGTGGCGAGATCTTAAGCAAGCGCATTTAGGGGAAAAAAAATGAACCTCAAACACCAAATTACACTCTTCACTGTTATAAAGGTATCAGTTTTAGCACACGCTTTAAATTTACTTCAATAGACATACTCTGACTTGATCACAATTGGGTATAGTTCACAATGTTACATTGTCAGGGGCTGTATCTCACAACTGCCAAGAAACAAAGCTGGACAAGTTTTGGTTATTTCAATGTACACCCTCAAAGTTTGAGATGTACTAACATGTTCAGGTGTTTTTCATTTGAGTTTCACTATTAGTAAAGCCTTTATTAAAAGGCATTCTCTGAAGAGGTAAGGAAAAAATAGTGCTGCTCTACCTATCTTACTGGACAAGACTGCTGATGTTAATTAGTGCAATGTGGATCAGTTATTATGCTTTAATTAGTTCAGTGTGGTCTCCTACTATGGGACAATGATTTCAGCCACAGAATCCAGCAGCAATGAGCTAATTTAGCTTGAAGAGGTAAGGGCAGTGAGCCTGCAAACTGTCAAGAGTCTCCAGTCTTAAACAAGTGTTTGTCACTCGTTCTGTAGCTAGGTACAAGCTACCGTTTTATCATCTTCCAATGCAAAAATGCCCAAATCCCCCTAAGCCTACACTAAGTAGGAAGGTTCTCTATGGCTGAAAAACTTTTACTACAGTTTCATGCAGCCACCAGAACACACTGCTCTGCAAGTCTCTTCCACATACTGTCTTAACGGCTGCTGTCAGGATTGGGAAAGCTCACCAAAAGAGAGGAGAGCTAGTCTCTTCTCCTTACACCACACGTGGTCCTTGAAAAGAGATACTTTGGCAATTATCAAGTTGCCAGAACATATTTGTGTTTAATTCTAACAGCAAACCATCACTTGCTACATTTTCACTATAATACTAAGAAAGTGTCAATGAGCTCACTATATACTTGAAGGTCTTTCCAGCGTGGTAAGAAATAAAATAGTATTAAATAAACTTTTGAATGAACAGGCCAGCTAAACACTTTATTCTTCAGTTTCAATATCATGAAATATTGCCAAAAACCTGCCTGTTTTGTGGCTATGACGGGAGCCCAGTTTGTTAAAGTTCACAAAAGTTTACCTACTGTAAATTTCAGTCTGCTCTATGCCACATTTATTTACATTAGTTTGTAGTTAGATCTACTCTTAATGTGGCATTAAGATCATTTGGTTTTGTGCTCAATAGCATTGACTTAGGAAAACTAGATGTGGTCTGTCCACATATAAGTATCTGCTGTAACAGAAGACTTCAGCTGCAAGTACACGAGAACAAATGAACTACAGTGACCATCAACAGTAATGCTAGGTTCCTCTAATCCCTTCCCCTTCAAAGAAGCAGTTGGAAGGAGCCAAGATTTAACTAATCCATGACACAGGGTAAGGGTGACAACTTCTTTCATTCCTACATTTTATAAGCATCTCCCTTGAAGATCACAATTATTTCAACTTGCCTCCTTCCTTCAAGGAGGAAAACATGTTGTCCACCCCAAAGAAATACAGAGGCACTCTTGAAAGAATCAAGTAACAGTAAAATCTTGACTCTATAACAAACAAGAGAATTGATAAAACCGCTGTTCAAGAAACTCTAGCTGTGTAATCAATTGCCTATATTTGCTTCTAAGCAATAGTTCCTCCCAGTCTGACTGCTTCCTTACCTTCACTACTAAAAAACTATCACCTCACTGCAACACCATCTCTACAAAATCATAAAACAGAAGCTAATAGCTGCTTTAACTTCAGCTTCATCTATGGTTGGAATCTCTTGGCATGACTACTATGTCTTTTTCTGGGATCACTTCAGGACAGTTAGTACTCTCTACTTGCTTGTAACCTGATACAGAGTCTCATCTGTCAGCTGTAAGCTAAATATTATAACAGAAGAATTTTAACCTAATCAATAAACTCCAGCATACATACTCCAACCCCAAGACCTAACTTAATAGGTCATCTCTTAACCATGTTGCTGAGGAGCGAAAACTACATTGGGTCTATTCTAACATTCACAGGTTTTCCACTAGTCAGACCAGAACCTCAATTTTTTCAGAACAAAGCCTGTTTCTCCCATACTAGTTACCACCACAGTGACCTTAACCCTCAAAACAGAGGCAAAAATTCAGAAAGCCAAGAAACATGTTCATATGTATTTCAGAGAAACGCTCGCCCTGAAAAGTAGGGCCCACCACATCACAAGTTTAGAAACACTAAGTCAGTGGTTGCTCTCTCTGTATGTCAAAGCTTCAAAATACAATGAATGACAGCATCAGTCAAGTGACACTTACCTCTACTTCCACAGACTGCATTGCTAAATCACATGGTGGTTTTAGTGCTTTAGGTCTTGTTGCATACCAGTAGGTAGTGAGAGCTGCAAAGGCACCGAAACCCATCAGCGTATTTGTTGGAAGGGTGCGCACATACTGTCTGACGTCACCAAGTTCTGGCATTCGTAGATGTCTAAACAATTCATGTGCTTGCATTGTAGTTTAATGTGGTTATCCTGATGCTGGAGTCTGTTGACATAAGAGAAGTTACACATATACAGATCTGAAATTCTCTTTTGATTCGCTATTGTTACGGAAGAGTGCTATTGTTATGGGAGAGTGATACATACCTTGTCTTACTACCTTCTCACTATCAAAATAATTTTTTCCCGAAATTAAGCAGGCAATACCTTCAAACAGTCATAATGCAATTAAGTAATAAGCAGTTACAAGCTCTAGAAGAATGCTGGGGCTGACAGGAGCCAGTTTCTTCAGGTTTTAAATACTGCTTTAACAGGCACTGCATTTGAATAGAACTTCTGCCTTACTTTTTGGAGAACAGCATCTGACAGATGTAAACAGTTACTTGTAGAGTAGCTGCACTGTATGTGTCAAACAGGGAAAGGAGGGAAGAGCTATGGGAGACGTAGCTTTCCTTGCATTGACATAACAGAACTGCACCAGAAGAACATCCTAATTCTGTGGTAGCATAGCAGTAAGCAGGACTTTTCATCTCTCAAGTCCAATAAAATAACATCTCTGCCTTCTCTACTCTCCCTTCAATCATGTATAAGGAGCTCACTGCAGAAAGCTGCCATCACAGCTGACATCCTTCTATAGCGCCGCTATATTAGCTAGCTTCCTTTTTCTCCCAGCATGACACCAACAGTTCCTCTTTGGTCATAAAGCAGAATAAAGCAATATCTAAAGATGTTTAACGCAACAGCACACAGCAATGTAAACAAGCACAGGAAGCACGTTCTATTTGTCACGTTTGCACAGAAAAAAAAAAAAAAAAGCTAAGAGGAGCCTACTCCTCGCCAGTGCCGCTGTGTTAGCTGACATGGATATTCCACAGCAAGAACAGATCGTGGAAAAAAAGCATTGCAGTCAGCTCAGCTGGTGCTTTCCGCTATAGCCAAGGTCTCCCAGGACGTTCATCACATGCTGAATCCGGCAGCTCCTGCCCACTAGGTTAGAGGTGAGCAGCAGGCAGGCAGCCTGCCCAGAGGCCAATTGCAACCCGCCCCGAATCACCCCACCACGCTGAAGGGCGACCATCAGCCCTGTGCCTCACGGGAACTCGCGCCTGGCAGCCGCACTCACGGATGTATGTCACCAGTTCAGCCTCCTACAACCGGAGGAGGACTGACAATAGGCTCGGGGGCGGGGGGGGGCGGGCGAACACAGCAGTGGTTATTTGCGTTAAGTTCCCTTTGCTCAAAGGGCTGCAAGTTATTTACTATAGAAAATTTAGGTCAAACCATTTCCTATGGACAATAAAGTTAGTTAAAAAACAAAAACAAAAAACCCACCACACACTGAAGAACGCCAAACACATTTGAATAATATTGTTACAGTGTGTTCTAGCAGTACCGGAAGATAGTAGGGAGGTGGGTTGGTGAAATCCAGTCAGGCAGTTGCATGCATATTAGCTTTAAAACCAACTATGCCAGGTTAAGATTTCACATTTCTGCAGAATAATCAAGTCTAGAGTCTGCTGTTGAAATCTTCGCTGTTGTAATCAGTTATTCAACTGGGTAACGGGAGAGTTGTCTAGTTTATAAAAAGTCTAATCAGTATTTGGACAAGGATTTGCTTCTCCCCCCCGCCCCGCCTTCAAAAAAAACCCCACAGAAATAGCCCAAAGGGCCCATGCTTTCACAGCATTAGCAGAAGGGGAAAGGGCAGGCTGAAGCAAGGGTGCGGGCAGCGCTAGGCTGGAACCAGGTTCCACCTCCGCAAGGGCCACGGACCCCTCGAAGGCCCCGCAGCCTGCGGGCACCTCGAAGCCTCCCTCTCCCCTGCTCTCACGGCAGGGCCTCAAGGCATGGCACTGCATCACCTAGAGCAAGATGCCTTTATTTCACCTGTTTGCACTGTGACGCACTAAAATAAAATGACTGCATCTAAAATAGACAACAAGTTGAACTGAACCAGGGGAAGGTAGAAGAAGAACTGAATGTATCGGGCAGAAATCTTTTCATCTGTTCTTGGCAGAGGGAGGGAAAAAAAAAGTCACTGACTCAACAGTAGGATTACCATGCTCTTGCTTTTTATGTATAAAATTACGTTATCTCTTCAGGTATTAAAAATACATAGCTTAATGAAAGCAATAATTAAGTCTTTCCAACAACATGCTTAGCTAATAAGCTAATTTTAGGTATCCTAGTATACACCATGTTATGAAACTAGAAGGGGGGGGGGGGGAAGGGGGACTATAACATATGTCACAGGTAAGAGCAAGCTTAGCTCTTTCCTCCTCAAGCCCCACAGTAGCCACCTCAGTTTTAAACAGATATTTGATTTCCTTTCTGCATTTGTCATGATGTCTCCTGCATGTGCATTGCATTCCTAAATCATGCAGGGCAGTTAGAGAATTACTGTTTCAAAAGGCTCTCGTGCTACTACAGCTAACAAGAATGTAATAAGCAAGTTAAGTTTATTCTTATAAACTCCTATGGTAACCAAAGAGTTAGTATGATTTAGGACTAGGTAACGAACAAAGAAACCCTCACGCACCACCACTTTTCGTTTTCTTGACCAGCTGTACAACCTGTAATATAAAAATTAAGACACCCTCAACATAAACATAGCAGTAAAATACATTATGTAGCTTTGATAAAGCTACGATATAGACACTTAAGAATGTCTTATTACACCTTCTGCCTCATCAGCACAAAAAAAGCAGGGTTAGGACAAAGTTTTCTGCAAGACTAAGCAACTCCTAGCTTTAACACTACCTGCTTATTCATATCAACTCTCATTTTCTGTATTTAAGACAAAACTAGAGTCAAGAGGGAGAACAAAGTCACATTTACAAACATATGCAACAAAAGTGTCCCCTCAGAAGAGGCAGGAGGTTTCAATGCTTCTCAGTCTGCTTTGATCCATCCCCTCACTTGCTTGGTCCATGCTCTAATCACACCCGACCCTCCAGGGTCTTTCCCAGGACTAAGGGGAACAGTTAAGAATCTTTAGATCTAGATACAGAGACCCTCTCAAGGGAGCTAGGATCTGGCTTTCCGTTCCTGTCCTCAAAAGTGCCATACTCAGCTGAGCCTGCTCACCCAAGACAAGCCAAACAACCTAGCAACACTTTATGGAATTCACTCCCTCCGTCCGCTATTCCACTCTTCAGCACCCAGACTCACTTACAGGAGACCTTTCAGTTTATACAGTCTACTCGTGCCTGGACACTCCCCTATCCCCATCTGCATGCCTCCATATTTTTGGAGTGTCATTAAGATCTTCCCCCTCCATCCTTTACTTTAGCCATTGGCAGACTAAAGAAAGTTATCAATAAGCTATTAACTTTTGCTGCATATCAGCATGAACCATCCACTGGGAAAAAAGTGTTTCTAACTACTTGGCCCTGGGAAACCGAACACTTAAGGTGGCAGACTTGTGCTAGGCTAACAAGATTGACTCAAGTGGTAGTAATACCATGCTTTTTGCCAACTCAAGTACTGCAATTACTTCTTATCCAGATGGGATCTACACTGCAAGTACTGTACTGAGAAACTTGGTTCCAACACGAGACAGTATGTAACAACTGATTGCAAGTCATGGCTGGAGACCCAAAGAAAGTAGATCCCTGATAAGAAGGGCCAGTCTTTGATACTCAAGTTGCTACATGTAGCAACAAATACAGAGCAGAAGGGACAATATTTGAGAACCTCAGAAGTACTCCCCCTGCCCCAATGTGACCAATAAACCTTTGTTTGTTTTTAGTTAGGAAGCAACACCTGATAGATACGTGAAAGAGAGGCTCTAAAGAGCAACAGGACAGAAGAACTACTTCAGATATAATTACCTGCCCTGGCCACATCTAAGAAAACTGCAGTTCCCAATATTCAGCCTGTGAAAGTATCCCTCCGAATTCATCATATCAGTTCAGTTAGTCCTGCACCACTCAGACAAAGAAAGCTCTCTTTTCACACACAGAAACCCTGCATCATCCAAGACTCATTCTTTGCAGCAGAGCCAGTATCTCAAGGCAACGACCCAAGTTGGCAAAACTCAGCCGTTCTTTGCTGCTCCTACTCTCAGCACACAATGGGCTATTTACAGAGGGCAGCAGCCTCCCTATTGTCTATCCATAGCCAGACATCGTTCGAGTGTAACGGAAGAGAACAGGAGAGCAGCCGTCAGCTTCTTTATTGCAAGGAAAACAACCCCCAAGAACCAATGGCTTCTCTTCACCTCCACCCGCACATTTAGATGAGCGGTAGACTAGCACTGAGGAGCCTGCAACACAGGAAAGTTCACGACAACGTATAGAAGGAGAGGATGCACTATTTCTGTGGCCTCTTACAGAGGGAGGATAGCCCACAGGTAAGTTACCTAGTTCTTGTTATTAGTAATGGGGCCCTAAAGTTCTCTCGATGTTTTGACCATGATATGGTGGAACTGGGGACCAGCCACCCACACACCTTCAGGTTATCCTGGTAACCCATTAGCCATTAGTTTGTTGTTTTTAAACTGTTGCAGGTTACTCTGTACAGCTCCCAAAGACCTCTGCAGTACTGAAGTCCTTCTCCATTCATCCTTTAAAAGAGCATCATATTCATGTTCTTTACTGTGTACAAAAGAGAGTACAACTAGCTTTGGCTACTGACAAAAGAAATCATTTTGTCTGAATAAAATATATAATCCTAATATGATGGTGCAGCTTATAATCAGCTTAAATTTTAAATCAGTCCAACCCGTCCCAGATACATATTCCCACAACCCATTTTGTGCTGGCCAGGCACTGATGTGGTTGCGCAGTCAGACTAGGAAGGTGATGTAGCACAGAACAATTTGCCCAGAATAGTTTTCATCCTAGTTCTCAGCTAGGTTAACTCTCTTGTTTTGATGACCAGATAGCCATTAGCTGGAAGAAACAAGGCAGCATAGCTGGAGGAAGAAAGGGATGAGCAGTTTTAATACTGCATCTAAGCTTGCAACTCCAAACACACAGGGTGCAAGTCCTCCCAGACTTTTCTCCCCTGCCCCAGAGTCAAGAAAGTAACTTGACTGAGGTC